CATAGCTTAGCTATTGTAGATAGTGCTGCTATAAACATAGGGGTGCAGCTGCCCTTTTGTATTAATGTTTCTGTGTCATTTGGGTAAATACCTAGGAGTGGAATTGCTGGATCATATGGAAGCTCTATGTTTAGTAGGTCAAGAAATTTCCACATAGCTCTCCATAGTGGTTGGACCAGTTTGCACTCCCACCAGCAATGCAGGAGAGTTCCTTTTTAGCTAGAAGGGATCATGCTCAGCGAAATAAGTCAGAAAGTAAAAGAAAAATACCAGATGGTCTCACTAATAGCAGGAATTTAGAAAACCTAAATAAGGGACCAAGAAAAAAACTAATTAATACAAAGTAAAAATGAAAATCAACAAGCAACTATAAACCAGAGACACACTATGTGGGGGGGTGGGGAGAGGAAGGACTAGGGTCAAAATAAGGGGCGGTGCAATTGTATGGGGAATATAACCAAAATGAAAATGCATACACTGTGCAAACATGAAAAATGATGTAAGAATTATATAAAATAAAATATTAAAAAATAAAATAAAGTGGGTAATTTCATAGCATGTAAATAATCATTCAGTAAAATTGTTTAAAATTAAAAAAACTTAAAATTACAAAGGAAGGGCCTCTCCAGTGGCGCAGCGGTTGAGCGCTGGGTTGCGAAGCTGCCCTCAGCCTCTGCAGCGCCGGTTTGATCCCCAGCTGCTCCCTGGCCACTGGAGGAGGGTCCCACATGGTGCGCAGACCTCTCCTGCCGCCCGCTGCTCCCCTTAGCAGTATACTTCGTCAGTCTGCCTGTTCTGCTCCCTGCTCTGGCTCTGGTGAATTTTCTCACCCTCCCGCGCTTCTGACTGTACCCAGTGCTTGTATAAATAAATAAATACATCTTTAAAAAAAAAAGATTACAAAGGAAACAAATTGTATTAGAATAGTAAAATTATTAGAAATATGGGAGATACATGGAATTAATATTAGTGTACTTAATCTTCCACATAAGAAGATTAATAGGTAATATAAAAAGATGATTTTACTGCTACTTGTAAGCTTTCTGTTTTTACTTGTATTCTTGTGGTAACTGCTAGAGAAACTTGTGAACAGGCTTTTAAGGTATCTGGGGAGTGGAATGGGGTGGAGGAATGCAAAGGAATATTGCTTTTCACTGTAAGTTCTGGAATATTTGCTATTGTTTAACCATGCATATTCATTAAGAAAGTAATAACTTTTTTCTTCTTAGTCTTAATTTCTACCTCAAAATGTGGCTGCATGGAGTAAACTCTATTTTAACATATCCTTAGTTTTCAAATATCTGACAGATATTTATATTTAGTAGTTGTAGATCAGGAGCACAACATTAGTGAATTTTGGCTTGCTGAAAGAAATAATACCAAAATTCTATACACTTAAGGGATTTGAAATGCTTGCCTTTTAATTGTTCCCATTTGTTTCGCAGTGTTTGGCCTTTTCTAATTGTCATTTACAGAACCACTTTCTTTAACTTATTTAGTATAATTAGTATTTAAATTTTGATGTAGAATGTTGTAAAGTAACAAAGTATGTCAGGAAAATGATTATGGGAAGAGATGAGAGCTCCCAAAATAACTTCTATAATCAACTAAAGAACAATTTTCTTAACAAGATAAACCTCAGGATAATGGTGAGGTACATCACAGAAAAGTTTTACAATTGAATTTAAACTCTGGGAGGTTATTAACTTTCCATCCAGAAGCTAATCCATTGTGTTGTACATAATGAATATGGACAACTAAAGAATTTCCAGAAATGTCAAAAGGTTACTTTTCCTGAAGAGGGCATAATTCCCACATATCACTGGAAGAGCAGATTCTGTAGGTCACAATGCTGAAAGTATGCAGAATTTGATGAGTGCTTAAGGCAGGAACAAAGGGTCAAATTCAGCATTGCTTAAGAAGGGTATCTTGAGATGATCTCTTTGAATATAATCCTAATTCAAAAGAGAAGATAGATGAAAACTTCATAATGATACCATGACAAAATATTCCCTAGCAAGCATTTACTTCATTTGCTGGTTTGTGACTTAAACAACGAACATTTATTTCACACAGTTCTGAAGGCTAAGTTCAACATCAAGGCACTGACATACTCTGTCTGGCGAGGACTTCTGCCTGTTTCATAGATAACAGTATTCTCACTGTGTTCTCACATGGTGGAAAAGGAAAGAAAGCTCTCTGGGGTCTCTTCATTTAAGACCATGAATCCCTTTCATAAGGGCTCCACCCTAAGGACCTAATCACCTAATCATATATTCGCACACATACAAATATATGTATTTGTAGTGAAATCTTAATTGTAAGCACTGAAGTTTCTTTAAAGTCTTTGTAGATGTTGAGTTTAGCTCTTCTAACCTTTGGACTCAGGTCTTTATCTTTCCATTTCTCATTATAGAATCTGGCAGAAAAATATATTTATTTGTATAATGCAAGTGTTCTAAGTATTTTATGCTTTTCAGTGCCATAAAAGATTATTTATGAAATGAAGTTATTAGAAAGAGCAGTGGATATGAAATCAGACTCAATCATAATCTTTGATATAATCCTAGATGTAACACTGGACCAATCATTTAACTATCTGGGCCTGTTCCTTCTCTTATGAATAAAGTCTTATGAATCTCAACATTCAGTCTGTGACTGCCACACAATCTAAATCATTAAAGTTCAGACATATTAAAGGTTTTGCAGCGCATGCATAGCCTTGTTTTACTCAGCACTTGCCATATTCTTTAAGCTAACAAAATGTGGAAAACTCATAAGGTGGTTTTTCTTGAGATAATTATTTCCTTCTTCCTAAACTCATATTTACAAAATATAAATTTATAAATTTGGTTTAACTTTTCAAATTTTTAATCTAGGGGAAAAGAAAAACTCCATATTTGATCTAATAAATGCTAAACAAAAATGAAACATAATTAGCTTTTAAAAGTATAATGTTTTACCCCCAAAGTTATGGAAATCCAAATGGTTCTATTTCAGTTATTATTGCTAGTAAACAACATACCCCAAAACATAGTGGCTTAAAGCAGTAACAATCTTATTAGTTCATGAACCTATATTTGGAACAGGGTTCTGTGAGGGTATCTTCTTTCTGTTCCATGTGGTGTCAGCTAGTACAGATCAAAAGGTGGGACTGAAACATTTTCTCCACTCTCCCCTTTGTAGCAAAATCCCTTGAAAACATTTTCTATAGACATTATCTCTGATTCTCCTCTGCCATTTTTTCCTTTTAAAAATTCTTTTAATAATTCATTTTGAAATAATTTTAAATGTAGAGAATATTTTCCAGAAGTATAAAAAGACTCTTGTGTCCCCTCACCCAGACTCCCCAGTTGGTAACATTTTGTCAAATGTATTCCATTGCTCAGTATCCCTTCCTCTAGCCCTCTGCCTACTGTACACACACACACACACACCCATGATTATTCATCTTTTTTTTTGAATGTTTAGAAAACAGGCTTTACAAATAATGTCCCATCATTACATATATTCCAGTCTGTATTTTCCAGCAACAGGGATTTTTTCCTATGTAACTAGCATACAACTCTCCAAGTCAGGAACACACAGTGGCACAACACAGCCACCCATTCAACAAACCGCATTCATATTTCACCATCTGTCTCAACAGTGCATCTTGTTCCTTGTTCTTCCAAAATTCCATCTAGAAATAAATAATGTATTTTGTTGTCATTTTTCTTTAGACTCATCCAATCTGAAACAGTCCCTTAGTCTTTTCCTTGTTAGTTTTAATGAGTACAGATCTTATATAGGATGACCCTCATCCTTGATCTACCTGATGTTGACTGATGACCACACATAAATCATGCATTATTGGTACCAGCATCACTGAAATGAAGCTATGCTGTATATCAGGTGATGTAGAACATCTCCCTCTTCCATCAGTGACCACGCTGATTACCTGGTCACATTAGTATCTGCCAGATGCCAGGTTTTCCACATTACAGTCATCATTAACTCCATTGTAATTGAGTGGTATTTTTTAGAGTTTTCCAAGAGTCCATCAGTATGTTTATCATCAAACCTCTCCCCACCAGCATTGAGACTCCCATCTGAAACAAACACCTATAAGATGGTTTCCAAATGGTAATTTTCTATTTCTTTCATTCCTTCTATATTTATTAGTTGACACTTTACTGAAATGAAGCATTTACTTTTCTCCATTTATTTAGTAACTTGTTTATAAGGATTCATCAGTTTCCATTTTTATTCACAGAATGATAGTCCATTATTTTTTTTTAAAGATTTTATTTATTTATGCATACAAGAGCTAGGGTACAGACCAGAGATGTGGGGGGTAAGAGGATTCACCAGAGACAGAGCAGGGAACAGAACAGGCAGACTGATGAAATACACTGCTGAGGGGAGCAGCGGGCGAGACATGAGAGGTCTGCTGCGCCATGTGGGTTGCTCCCTGGCCAGCCGGGGATCGAACTCATTCTGCAGAGGCTGCAGATTGCTTCATAGTGCAGTGCTTTACCCCTTGCGCCACCAGGGAGGCCCCATTATTATTATTACTTATTGTTAAAATTGTTGATTTGGCCAGTGGTACCCTGTTTTTTGACGTTTTAGTATTCATTGAGCACTTTCTTACTTTCTGACTAAATAAAATAAATAATAAATAAACAAACAAACAAATAAATAAAATGTTCCAGGTTCATTTTATACTTTCCCTGGCCTCTCCGTGGAATCAGTCCTTTCTCCAAGAAGCTCTGGTTCCTCTCCGTGAAGATAGGTATTTAAAAAACAAGAGCTGGGCACTCAGTGTGCTTGGTACTGTTGGATTGTCGTCACTTTTAGTACTTCTCAGCAAAAAAAAAATCTTGGAAAATATCTATAGATAATGTTAGAAGTTATATAACTTTAGTATGTTGGTGCTTTGATTACAGGGCAATAGCAATATCTTCTTATGAGATTCTAGTCAGTGAGATAAACTTTTTCTCTTTGCCCTTCTTCTCCAGGTATGTGTAATCCTCGAAACTATAGTGACACACCTCCGACTTCAAAGAGTACAGTGGAGGAGCTTCATGAGCCAATCCCTTCTCTCTTCCGGGCACTCACAGAAGGAGATACTCAGTTGAACTGGAACATTGTTTCCTTTCCTGTTGCAGAAGAACTCTCACATCATGAGAATCTGGTTTCATTTTTAGAAACTGTGAACCAGCCACACCACCAAAATGTGTCTGTTCCCAGCAATAATGTTCATGCACCTTATTCCAGTGACAAAGGTAACTCCCAACAAATGACTCTTTTCTGTTCTGCCCTCTCACTTTCTAGGTAATCAGTGACATATATTAAGATTATCTTTTAGGGCAGTTGTTTGGCTTTGAGTTTGTATAGTCTTAAATTAATTATGGACTTTAATATCCTCAGTCTCTGAGTAGGGAAGGAGACATGTCAAGCATCTTGTCACAACTCCTTATATCCCCTCTTGGGATAGAGGCTCTGTTGTAAGATAGATAACCCATTCTTAATTTTGATTTGTATTAGGCTTTAATTTTTATTTTCATTGCTGATTACCTAATATTGTTAATCATCAAGTAACACTCAGAGTGTCCTATGAAGTCAAGTTTTTATAGTATCATTGGTACCACAAGTGATGGCAAACTCATCAGCTAAATCTCTTTAAGAGCAAGTTAATATTGGGCCTCCCCGGTGGCGCAGTGGTTGAACGCTGGGCTGTGAAGCTGCCCGCAGCCTCTGCAGCGCCGGTTCGATCCCCAGATGCCAGTGAGGGTCCCACATGGCGCACAGACCTCTCCTGCTGCGCCCGCTGCTCCCCTCAGCAGTGTACTTTGTCAGTCTGCCTGTTCTGCTCCCCACTCTGGCTCTGGTGAATTCTCTCACCCTCCCATGCTTCTGACTGTACCCAGTGCTTAAATAAATAAATAAATAAATAAATAAATAGATAGATAAATAGATAAATAAATGAATGAATGAATCTTAAAAAAAAAAGAGCAAGTTAATATTTCAGAAATCTAATTTCAAGGTATAAACCAACCTCAGCTAGTTCTCTGCAAATGAATGTTATTGTTCAGAACTAAATGAGAGAAGGACTTGGACAACTCTGAAAAACACAGTAAAGAACATTTAATAGTGAAGATAGGTCATACCGTAATTTGGAATGTAAAAGGCATGTAACTTTTATAAACTCTGCAATATTTTCAAATAAAAAGCTCCACACAATTTTATTGCGGAAGAATATGATAATTACGGAAATTGCAGTTATTTCTTAAAATATGAGATGAATTATACATTAATTTATACTTTTATTCGACTTTTCCTTGTGCCCTACATTAAAACCTTGCCTGCCTAATGTGCGAACTCTTTATCAATACTGAAAACAGCTTTAGTTAATGATAACCAGAGTAAGAATTCTTCTTTCCTTTTAGGTTAAAGCTCTTTATAAGACAAATTTTAGATTTTGGAAAGCCTCAGAAATACATTGACTTTGTCTATATAAGGTGTTTTGTACCATTTCCCCTATTATTAAATTGCAAATATGCAACATGTACCTAATAATTATTCATGAAATTTGCTCAAAGATTATTTAAATTCATAAAATAAATGGTAGGATACTAATATCTGGAAATATCAACTATCCTCTAAGATAGAGCTAAAATTTCTACTCCATGACACTTTTTCTGGTGCCCCTTCCTCTAGGTAGGGCTATCCATTCTTACCCCTTCTCCCTGCATTTGTAGTTTGATTTGTATCTGCTTTAAACATAGAGGTCTACCTTTTCTTTCAACTTAATTCCCTGGACTCACTAATTACTCTTTGGGTCTCTAATGGTTGGTTCACAGTAGATATTCAATAAATACTTGTTGAATAAATAAATGAAGTGGATTTGGTAGGTGCCAATCACAGATTCAGATGCTCCCCTATTTAATGCCAACCCTTCTTGTCTACCTGGTCTAGTGCTCTGCCTATTTCCCTCTTTAACCAGATCACATTTTAGTATACCCAGTGGTGGTTCTGCTGTTTCCTGATACTAACCACCCACTGCAGTCAGACTAACCTCCACTCCATCCCCCATGTACACTGAACCCATTTCCATGACTTTCCTTATATAATCTTGTAAATACAAGTCCAGCTTTATTTCCCTTTAAGCCTTCCCTTATGCAGATCCCTAGTGATTTATCAACCCCTTAAATGCCCTGTATATTAGTAACTTAGCCTTTTAATCATATATTCAATGGTTTTTATTGTCCTTTATTTCATATACTGTGTCGTTCTAACTAGTTGTTATATGAGGTTAACCACCAGGAGCACTAAAATTGAAACAATTAAAAGTGATCAGAGGACTAGAAATGCTATTAATTATAATAAAACTATGTTCTAATGATAAGACTATGTTCTATGTTGAGCTTTGTGCTCAACTTTGCTAGCCACTTTGTGTCGTTTGAATTACTTGTTTTATTTTATTATAAATTCTCAGTATAACTTTAGAATAGTATTTTTCAAACTTCTCCTCATAGGAATGAAGTGTAACTTTAAAGAGCACAGCTTTAAGTATAACAAGTGTTGTTAAATCCAGTAATCTAGCTTTTTCAGATCAAAGCCTAAAATCTAATAAATTTACTAAGAAAGCTCTTTCCCTTCTTGAGCTGGAGTAGACTTTGACTTCCTTCTCAACACAATTGACAAATATTTCCTTTTTTCCTATTTCTCATCCATTGTCTTGTGCAGATTAGCAATTAGTAAACCAAAATAAACAACTGTTAATGATTTTTAACTAGGCATTAAAGCATTTCCTCTTTCTTGCTCTGAAATCTTAATTTTTTATTTTTTTAGAACACATGTGTACTGTGGTTTATTTTGATGACTGCATGTCCATACACCAGTGTAAAATATCCTGTGAGTCCATGGGGGCATCCAAGTACCGGTGGTTCCATAACGCCTGCTGCGAGTGCATTGGTCCAGAATGTATCGACTACGGTAGCAAAACTGTCAAATGTATGAACTGCATGTTTTAAAGAAGGAAAAGAACATGCAAATAAAAGCTATTTAGTTAAAAAGAAAGGTATAGGAAGCTATTCAGTGAGGTCTACTGGTTCCATCACAATGCCAACAGGTTGAGAAGACGTAAAGCATTTGAACTGAGTTCTTTTGACAAACTCATGACAAATCTAATAATGTATTAAATTATGATTATAACTGCTCTTATTCATTTTACTGCCTGCTAGTAATAAGCCTTAAAAACATGTACATCTTTGGTCACATGAGAACTAAGTGCATAGAGAATTCTTGGAAAGGGCTGATGTTTCTAACATAAAGTCTGATGTCATTTTCTTCTAGTGTTCCAAAAGTTTTGTTTTGAAAGTGTTAGAACATGTTAATGTAATTTATGATTTCTTTATGTGCTTCTCCCAGGACACTGATTTTTTTATTATATGCCTTTCTTCACTGTGCCTTGTATTGTTCATCTGTTCTGTAATTAGGGTAGATATTCAAATATATCATCATGAGAACTCATATAAATCATCAAAAGCTAAATTTCAAACCTTCTTATCTTGGTTTTATAAAGTAAATGCTCACTATATTTTACAATTTAAAATTTGCATAGTAGAATTCATCCTATAGTACACATGCTGACAGAGCTTTAAGAAAAGCTTCTCTTTCTCTTCCATCCCATTGCCCAAAGTGCTGATGTCAGTAGTGATGAAGAATTGTTACTGAGAATTTCCGGGATACCTGAGACTGGGTTAAGTACATTGCTATGGTACGTAATTACTAAGTTAAAGCATTTCTCTGAAGAGCTCTAGGAATGGGAATTGACTGCCGTCTCACTCCACTTAAAGCACCAGGGAAACAAACCTGTCCCCTTCTCTGGAAATGTTGAAGCTGAAAGATGAAGTTGTGTCCACTAGACAAGAGCATGAGCTCCATAGGCCTTAGCACAGGCAGAGCCATGTTCCTCCGTGGACAAATGATTAGAGGGGGTAAAGAATAATACTTGGCAGTATGAACAGTAAAGGTTGAAAATGCTGGCAATCCCAGTGGGAAACTAACTTAAAACTACATTGTTTTGTTATTTTGTATCAAGTGTTATTATTAAACAAGTATAATCATGTAGTAGAAGGCTAAGAATATGAAACAAAAATCTCTGTTCAAGATAATGTAAACTCCAAATACACCACAGATTATTTTGTCAGCTTTTTATATAATGTTTCAATAAAAATAAATTTAAGTTCTGTGTTCTTCATAGTAATAAAATTTTTATCTCAAGCATGAATCTAAAACATTTATATTAGAGACTTAAATTTATAAAATTATTAATTTCTCTAGTGCATATTTGAATTGAAAGGAACATTGTAGGAGTACCTCTTATATCTAAATATTATAGTATATAAAAATAATGATCTTAGATATCTTGTATTCAATATATGAACAGTAGTTGGCTATAAGATCATATGTAATATTGTGATTAACTATCATAAAATTTAAAGCTTTATACTTTTTGTTCTTTCCAGTAACTAATGAATGCTCAAGGTAATTTAACCTTTTAAAAGTTAAAATTTATGTCATTGGGCCTCCCTGGTGGCGCAGCGGTTGAGCGCTGGGTTGCGAAGTTGCCCGCAGCCTCTGCAGCACTGGTTCGATCCCCGGCTGCTCCCCAGGCACCAGCGAGGGTCCCATATGGCGCGCAGACCTCTCCTGCCACCAGCTGCTCCCCTTAGCAGTGTGCCTTGGTCCCTCTGCCTGCTCTGCTCCCTGCTCTGGCTCTGGTGAATTCTCTCACCTTCCCACGCTTCTGACTGTACCCAGTGCTTGTATAAATAAATAAATAAATCTTTTAAAAAACAAAAAAAATTTATGTCATGGATACAGTTTTTTATTAGGAAAACATTGAGATAAACTTTCCTACTTTTACTTAAAATGCCTCTTTAAAAAGTGCCTTGAAAACATTTTAGCTCCCCTTCTTCATTAGTAACTATAAACTTTGAAGATTTTTTTGAGTTTAAGAAAGGATCGTTTTAAAGGAATCAGCATCAGTTGCTTTGTTTCAATATTGCTGTTTTTCAAAATAGTTTCATACCTATGAATAGAAGAATGCTGTTATTTTTATTGATAACAGGCTTAATAAGTTCCCTTAAATATGTCAACATTCTTTAATTGCATTTATCATCTTTTTTTAGGTCATCATTATTAAATGTAAAAAATAATATCTTGTACTTTATCACCCCTTCAGGAGGAGGGTAATTTCTTGAACCATATAGTGTTTTAACTGATTTTCCTTACCTCTCTCTCTTCCAGTGGAAATTATCCCTAAATGTAGTGGTCTTTTAAATTCAAATTTTGCTGGATTTTTCCTTATGAAGGGGTTGATAGAAAGAATTCCCCTAAGAGGTTCCACTTCCAGTTCTATAATGTCTTTCAGGTTTGAGTAACAATATTTTCCTAAATTAAAAGTCTAACATTTGGGAAATCAGTAGCCCCACTAACATTTAGGCTTTCTTAGCTATGTAAACACAATTCACTTTTATATTTAAGCTCTGGTAAAAATTCTTTTTAAAATAAATTGCTACCCTTTTATAACTATATCAAAAAAAAAACACTAAATTTTAAATCAGTAGTTATTACAAAGCCGTATGTAAGTTTCTTTCCTATCAAAAGACATGTCCTTACTAACAGATTTTTCTGTCTTCCCCCATATCATCTAATTTTTCTGAAACTACTCACAGTAGTGCTACCAAATCAAATAATTCCAATAAAATTTAGTATTTACATAGAATGTTATAAAAGAGAGGCCCTTCATTTAGACTATGCTTTCTAATGTTTCAGAAAACAAAAGTAATTGAATACTTGAATAGTTACTTATAAACCAAATTTGCATCAGAAAGAAGAAAACAAACTAAAACTATTGGAAAATGAGGTAAATATAAATAAACCACATATTTAAATTTTTATAATGAAAGTCTCTCTGAAGATTTTTTAGAAATCTTTTCTGCATTCCCAGGAGTCTATGTTTATTGTATTTTATATGGTCTACAACATATATGTGTATTTTCCTTTGGTTGTCCCAATTTAAAAAAATGTTTTAATAAAAAACTGAAATGATGTGTCATGTTTTCTGTTAATTTTAGCATAGAACATGAAAATTAGTTTGACATTTCTGTCTTCTGAAGTTAATCAGACAAGCAAGTCCCTTCTCTTTGAATGTCCCTACAGTTTCCTCTCTGCTTTCCCTGTGCTTCATGCGAATAAGGGAGATCTTTAAAATGAGATACTTAACCATTCTCCTTGCTCTGTGGAACTTACCATGCCAATCAGCCTCACAAGAACTATTTGATGGTTAGGCGTTATAGGAATATTAAGGTAGGAAAATACTATCCCCAACTCATGCACTCCTATGTTCATAGCAACATTATCATAATAGCAAAGTCATGCCCAATGACAGATGATTGGATAAATTGTGGTATACTCAATGGGATACTACTCAGCTATTAAAAATGCAAGCTTTTGGTCCAAAATGGATGGATCTTGAGGTGATTATGAAAAGGGGCAGAAAAGGGGCACTTAACCGGCCCCGGAAACAACCTGAATAGTTTTCCGATCACTGAGTTCCTTCCCGAGCCCACAATTGTAAGACTACTTAGGCTCAGGAAACAACGCAAAGGGATTTATTTAACAAGCCAGGAAAAAAGAGTTACTGTGGCCAAAAATGGCCTTTACCGTAGCCAAAGCCAGTGTTACTCAGTCCTGCACAAAAGCAGTTAAAATGGCGTCTTCCCGCCACTGAGAACACAGTTTCCTCTCCCAAACAATAGGCCATGTGTCTAAGATGGCATCTTCCTGCCACTGGACACATGGCAGCCAGACTATAAACCAGGTTCCCAATCACGAAGACAGCAGAAAACACAACAGGATGCTCCGTGAGCTGTTGGGATGCCTCGGCAACGCACAAGTAACACTCATTAGTGGTCGAACAACCCAACAAACAGCTACACTCACGCATCAGCAAGACGCCTGGCTCAGGGTCTCCCGTCTTCTCTGCCAGGCCACAGCTCAGTGAGACACCTGGTTCCCGGGTCTCTTGTCTTCTTTGCCAGGTCACATCTGCCTGGCAAAAGAGCGGCGCGGTGGTGGCCCAAATCCGCTAACCCCAAATGCTGAATTACCAAGACTGTCTCACCTCTGAAACACTAAATCCCGACAAAGACTTTTCTCTCTCAGCCCCCTTCTGTAGTTAGCTTCACCCCATTTTTAGCATTTTCCTCAGGGCTATCTATCTTTACCAGCAACCCCCTCCAGGGGGCACCACCTGTAACAGTCTATAGCTCTAGCCACCCATTGCCACCTGTTGCAATTATGTTAATAGTGCTGCAATAAGCACAGGGGTACAGGTGGTCTTTTGAATCAATGTTTCTGTGCCCTTTGGGTAGATCCCTAGGAGTGGAATTGCCGGGTCCTATGGTAGCTCCATTTTTAGTAGACTGAGGAACCTCCAGATAGCTTTCCACAGTGGTTGGACCAATTTGCAATGTAGACCACAATGGTTGGTCCACAATGGTTGGCCCACCAGCAATGTAGGCGAGTTCCTTTTTCTCCGCATCCTCACCAACATTTGTTGTTGCTTTTTTTTTTTTTTTAATATGTGCCATTCTTACTGGTGAAAGGTGGTATCGCAAAATGGTTTTGATTTGCATTTCCCTGATTATAAGGGATGTTGAACATATTTTCAGATGCCTGTTGGCCATTTGCATTTCCTCTTTGGAAAAATGTCTCTTAAGTTCTTCTGCCCATTTCTTGACTGGATTGTTTATTTTGTTTTTGTTGAGTCATGTGAGTTCTTCATATATAGTTGTGATCAGTCCCTTATCAGTTGAATAGGTAAAATCTGGAAACAACCCAAATGCTCAAAAATAGATGACTCAATCAAGAAGATGTGGTACATATACACAATGGAATATTATTTAGCAATCAAAAAAGATAAACTCATGCCATTTGCAGCAACGTGTATGGAGCTAGAAGGAATTGTGCTCAGTGAAATAAGCCAGAAGGAAAAAGAAAAATATCGGATGGTTTCACTTATAGCAGGAATATAGGGGAACCAAATAGGACATCAGTATATAAAAAAAAAGAGTACAACACATAACAAAGCAAAAACAGACAATTATAAATCAGAGCCATCCTGCAGGGGAGGAGGCAGGAGAGGGATCAGAGGGAGGGAGGAGCACAGGGGACTGAGGTGATGGTGCACGGGTGCTTTGGTGAAGGAAACTATGAGGACTACACCTGAAGGGGGTGGGGGGAAGAAATAGTGTTTAAAAATGAACAATGATGAAAAAAATAAAAAATAATAATAAAAAAACAATTATGTAAGTAAAATAACTGAGACTGAAAGACAGTTACCAGATGGTTTTGCTCATCCATGTAATATAAATAGCCAAAAAAAAAAAAACCTAACAAAGTACAGCAAGAATAATTCTTAGACGCTTTGAAAAATATTCGGGTTACCAAAGGGGATGAAGGGAGTAGGATAATCGCACGAGGTCTTTGGTGGAGGGTGAGTGAATCATGTGCACAGTACAGAGGTGTGAAATTGTGCTCCAAAAATTATACAGATATGTAAACTGCTGACCAAAGCAAAGACTATGGGAAAGTAAACACAAGATAATCTTAGCAAATGGAAAGTCCCATGAAATTAATAAACCTGACAATATGGTAGAGAGCAACTAGGGTGTAGTGCCACTTTTTCAAATGAAAGGAATTAAAAAAAAAAAAAACTGAGGGGAGGAGTTTGAGCCAAGACTTAAAAGTTAAGTCATTGAAATGGAATTATATTTATATTTCAGTTTGGGGACAATGAGTATTTTTATGATATTAAATTCTTCCCAACTAAAAAAGAAATTCCCAGCTCTTCCATGATGATTCACACAGCCTGGTATTATAATTGAGAGCCCCAGGCTGTACACTCATGGGAGACTATTCAGATTCTACCTTTTGATGGCCCGTGTAGATATGGGGAACATCTAAGAGGACAGGGTGCCAGCCTAAGTAACTTAATGGAATGATAAGCATCTGGGAAATTTGGGAGATAGATCCAAGGGAAGAGAGTACATTGAAAGGAGGAAATTTGTTCTTTTGCTGAAGGTGTTCCTGTGGCAGTTAGTCATGTGGAGCTATAAGGCAGAGATCTGGAGATGCAGAGTTGGGAGGGACTCTTGACATGTGAGCAAACAGCAGAGAGGCTGTTCCACACCCAACACCTTTTGAGTTCACTTTGCCAGGCAAACAACTCCCTTAGCTTGTGGTTGTTGGCAATTATGGCTCTTAGACCTTTAAGATAGTCCTAAATGAAAAATAAATTCCCTTGGTATCCTTTAATTTTGAAGTCTGTGTTTGAAGGCTGGATCAGGAACAATTCTAAGGTCTGGTTGTTGAGATGAGAATTCTCAGTGCAGAAGCAAAGAGAAAAAGATTTCTGCTCTCCCACAGTTGTGCTGTGACTCACAGGATGTTGCCTGGAATAGTGCAGAGCCCCCACCAGTCAGGGAGGCACTCCCCCATTTGATTAAAGGCAGCTCCTGAAGTTAGACGTGGTGACCCCAGAAATAGCTTTACAACAAACACGATAGCGTTTCCTGTCATTCTGATTTACCTGCTGCATACTGTAGCCAGAGTGAAGGTTCTGAAACTTGTGAAACACATGTCCAGCTAATTACTACCTGAACCCCATTTCAACTTCAGAGCAAATAGCAAGGCCTTTGTGCTCCTTAGCCTCAGAGGGTTAGAATTACCCTGTAGGAAGTAGGAGTAACACTGACAACCTGCCTTTTGTTTTCCAGAAGCCTCACCTGCTTCTTGAGGGGATTGAGCTGGCGGGAGGGATGAGAATTAGTGCCTTTGAGGTGCTGAGAGAAGGCAGGGAAGAGTCTTGGTCTCCCTGCCCCAGGCCTTACATAGACTGGGGCTCTAGGACTGGCCCTGCGGCTCAAGGAGGCCTGACTACACAGTCGACAGTGGGCTCTTTCTAGTTTCCAACATGAATACGTGTTACAGAACCCCCAACCCCAAAATGTGGATCTTTGGTCCTCTGGAGAAAGAATTCACCAGAGGGCACTAGGAATAGCTGACCATGCAAGCCTTTATTAGAATAGATTCATACAAGAGGGAATCGGTGCCAGAAAGGAGAATTTAGCCTGTTCCTCACAGGGAGTTAGAAGATATTCAGAAGGTAGGTCTATGAGGCAGAAAGGAGAACAGCCTCTGGCTTGGGCTATGTCGGGGCATGCGCAGATGGGTTACATTCCAACTGCATGTGGGCGCTCAGCCTTTTCCTTCCAGGAAATTGTGAAAAAAAATTATTAGTCAGAATCTAACACTTTTTGTCTATCGTGGTGTCTCAGAATGAGTGTGGTGGTTGAATTGCTTCGATAGGTCTAGCCAGTCTGTTATTTAGCCCACCTGTTCAAACAGGACTTGGAACAATTCTTATCCTACTAGCTTAAAATTCCTTTTACCTGGGCTGTCTGATTGGCACCCCGCCCTCACTGTCCTGAGCCTTCCAAATGTGCCGCTAGGATCTCATGAGATTCAAGATAGATGACAGAGCCCCCCTCATGACAAACATTGGATGGGGAGGGGTGTAGTGGCAGGAGGACACGGAGCAGGATCTCCATGGTGACCCGAGCAGACGGGTGAAGGAGGAGTCCTGGAGCCCTCGGTGAATTTTCAGGCTTTTATTGAGTTTACCAGGTACATGGCAGGCAGGGGTGCAGGCCTCCCGGCCCCCAGCGAATCTTCACTCTTTCTGTGCTCTTCGGCACTCTCTCATGGCCTCTGCCACGCTGCTGGCTTTCCTCTTCTGGTATTTCTTTTGCTCTGCTGGCCTCCCGCACCATCGCAGCTCCGGTGAATCCCATCTACGCATGCCCACACCCTAGTCCAGGTGCCCGCCGGCAGGCATGCGTTCAGGACGCCAGGGATTCACCATCAATCCCAAGGCAGGAGGGCAGAAAAGTCTGACAACTATTTACCCTACAAGGGAGTTCAGTCAGATTTTTTTTAATGTAAAGGAAATAATGAAATGTGAGGATTTGCATCTCCAGGT